AACACCGTCTAACGGTGAAGTAAATATCTTCCAGTGATAAGTCTTTAAGATTAATATATGGTACTATTCCAACTGCCGAGGTCATAGCGCAGGGGTTCTCAGCCTTTTTCGCTGGGGTGCCACTAATTCTAATTTAACACATTAAATGTACCACTAACCAAATGCGTTGAGGGGAAAACTTATTTCTGTTAATATTATCTTTTGGTTATCTTACTTAGTTCGCGTACCACCAGCGGTACGCGTACCATAGGTTAAGAAACGCTGTCATAGAGTATAGCGTCGAATTCCATGGAAGGCGCTGGAAAAGAGGGAGTCATGGTCACTTATGAAGAAGGTACTAGACTCATAGCGGAGAGCAGACGCCTCAACTAGCTGGCTAACGATGCATTTTATCTGATAGATTCTGCTGTGTTCCACTGTATGGAGTGCCAATGAACCACGGAAGTCAGGCAGATCCAATGTTAGCCGGGCTAACATGGCTAAAATAACGCTGGGCCCCTGAGTAGGATCATAAAGAAGGAAGCTGTAAGGAACAAGAATGAACAGAATTGAATAAGATTACTTACTTACCACTCCGAAATACGTTTTGCTGTTCCCACAAAACAACACTGCTGTAACAAAAGAAAAAGTATATAATTACGATACAAGCATCAACATAAACTATGTACAATACAAAATATAATTATTATATATATTATGATTTACTACTTTATTTGTAGTTCAACGACGATGTCAGATCAGACGAAAAACAGCGTCGAATGAGTAGGATGATGACGAATTTGAGAGGATACGGGTGGAAGCGGCAGTGGCCTAATTTGAGGTATCATCCCAGTATTTTCCTGGAGGGATCGAGAGAATGCTACAAAAAATCTCAGCTAGAACAGCCGGTCACCGAACCTACATAAATATCGGGACCTGCCGAATGCGAAGCAGGAATTCTAACCACTCGATCGCGACGTTGGGGAATTAACGATTTTGAAGGCTTCTGCATCCCAAATCGATCGTTATTATCCAAAAGTAATTCTGAGACCTGATTTGATTATATTTAAATTACCTTTTAGTACGGGGTACGAATATTAACTGTAATGAAAATTCAGTCAAGTTCAAATGAAACGCATTCTTTGTAATAAGAACCTGAACAAGCAGTGTTCTTCAGTCCGTTTGTATGTTGTTGGCCGAAACTGCTTTAACGAAATGACGAATCAAGAAAGTAGATGTGTGCTTAGCGTTCATGTGGGTCGAAGGTTAGCTCGGTGTTCTACCCCACGAGAAGAAGAGTTTCGTCTCATATCCGACTGGATGATGCGGGCACGGGGAGCGCATTCTCCTTGTTAACTGAAGAAGTGAAGTGTGTGCAGTGTTGCAAACAAGTGAAAAACCCTCGCCTTGGGATTATAATTGGGCAGAGGGAGATGTCCTGTTGTGCTCATTCTGATGTAAACACGAGGACCGGCATAAGAAAACCAGCATTTACAAGTGTTATAATAAATAATGACGTCGAATAAGCTGTGTGAAAACGCATTAATTTTTGCACGTGTCGGGATGGTAGAAAAAACCGTAACATAAGCCATCGTCGACACTCACCAGTCGCTGATGTTTTACCACCTTATATCAACTGCAGATTGTACTCACCGTAGGATGAAAAGGATATGTGGTCATTAATGATGTGCTGACATGCCCTAGTGTTTTGTAAGGAGTGGCAATATTGAGGAAAACCACAAAATGTGCCGACATTCTGACACTGTATCTGGATCTCCCGAATACAAGCCAGGAGTTTTAAGAGACACCAGACACCAGCCTGCACATAACCAACATTTACAGACCTGAGTTATGGTGGTACCCGGTCTGAAAGTTGTCATTTTCTGTTGTCTTGTCCTATATAGGTACATATGAAAATGGGTAGGTTCTTATAATGGTCAGGTCCTCCTCCATACCAAGGGTATAACAGATTCGTTTTTTTTCAGTATTAATTCTAAATTAGAACAGATCAGATAGAAGGTCTAATCCGGCAGAGCTGAAGCATAAATTAGAACTGCCAGCTCTGTTTTAAGGAAATGACACTTGGGCCATCAAGGGGTCAGATAAGAAAGGTAGAGGACAATAAATGCAATATCAATGCACTGTAGGACTATAAACGCAGGGAAAAAATAAGAAGGGAAAATATTCACATTAAGTGACAAAATAAATTTAAAAAAACACAACTGTTAGATCCACTCAAATGTAATAGCACTTGAAAAAATTCCTAGAGCTATAAACGATAATCACCCCCACACACTACTGCGTTAAATTGAGAACACTGAAGATGAAGATAAGAATTTCAAGAGTATGGAACTGAACGGGAAATTCAACTCACGAGGTTATTGTACAGCACCCTTTCAACTGAGCGAATGAGATGGAAATATCATGACTCGTGAGCAGACAATTATTCTGCCAGTTTTCTGCCTGGAGGGACTGAAACAAATCACGAAAACCTACCAACGTCGTAAAATAATTAAAGAACCAATCATTACACGCGATGGGCTCGCAACACCCGCTGTCCGACTGATTCCCAAGTTATTCCACATCGAAACATGGACAGTAAAACAAGACCGGAACAGGTTCCGTAGCTTCGGATATGCAGCACTTGGCGCAAATTTTAAAAATCATCCTTCCAAAAGTCAGTGAAAAGTTACTTTGCAAATTCCAGATGTTAAAACCTGTTTGTATCATTTCACTTCAAGTTACAAAGTATTAACTTCAATAATTTTGACTGCAGTTGGTTACGTAGACTACACGTGGCTACCGATATCCACTTCAAAGGGACAGAACTCATATCAGAAGAGAGAAACTGCAATCGTGTTATATCACTTTCAAATCCTCAACAGATGTGTGACACAGGGAACTGATAAAGAACACGAAGAATAGAGAGAAGGAATAAATTAGAAAGAGGAGAAGAATAAAGAGAATAGGTGGAAGCCGAATGAGAAGGTGAATGAAAAGAAACAAAGGACAAGGGAAAGAAGACACGACGCAGAAGAGAAGGACCAGAATAAATGGAAGAAGCAGCGGTTCGTAAAGACGAAGAAAACAAGAAATTGATGAAAACGGAAGACAAGGAAAATGAGGTTATTAAGAAAAACGAGAAGTGGAGAGAGATGAATGGGAGGGGCTCGGAGAAAGGTAGAACAGAAGAGGATGGAGGAGATGATTTGACAAAATTGTAGTTGTTATGTTCCCTTCATGCCTGATTGCTGTCTCTTTCTGACATGGTGCATGCGCATATCATCAGCAATGCTGTAATGTTTATTTCTGTTTGAATGGACCAGTCAATACTCTCTAATGCGAATGTTAAAACATGATTATGTGTACATCCCGAAAGGGTTGTTATTAACATGAAGACCACTCAGTTGTCTTCAAATGTTTAACTCAATAAGGGAAATATAACAAGAACTATAGTACAAAATCCTTAATTACACCATTTAGCGATCCATTCCCGTGGAAAAGAATCGTCATGGGAAAATATGACTTTTACATTTCGAGTTTTACAACGGGAGGACGACAATGCTTTCGATTTTCAAGAAACAGGGCGTGAAGATGGAAACCAGAGACTCAACTGGAACACGGCAGTACGCAACAGCCGACTTTCGTGACTGCTGTGATAAACCTTCGGGTTTCCTTACAGTAGGGACGTCCTTCAGTCATTACCACATTTTCCAACACAGTCCCCACACCATGGAGTTTGCACACTATTTACAGAATAACTCAATTACAGTACAATTTGGATGAGGGAATGAAACAATTTAGGCAAACGAAAAGTGCTTCAAATATCCTCATACCACGATTTAGTCTAATGCAATAGATGCACTAAAATGTTCTCAGGAGATTAGAGGCGTAAAAGTTAAGCGGCTGATCGCCCGAGAACATTTTAGCGCATTTATTCCCCATCAAAGCTTCAACCTTATACAATGCAACAGATAGTTTACATACACTAATGCCAACAAAAACCAAACGGCGAAAGAGTACGGACATTACACCAAAAACCATTTCAGGGACCTCGGCCTACCAGAACCCCACTGACAATATCAATCATACTAAAAATCTTGGGGATCCACGGTTCAAGCAGCTGCTAGAAGAAACGGTTATAAAATATTTTTAAAGCACTGCCCCAAATATGCATCGAATAGAGTGTGTTATAAGTTAAGCTTATGTAAGAAGCTCTTTAAACTACAAAGGTTTCATAACATCGAACGAAATTATGCGAAGAACATGAACGTGTATATAAAGCTTTGTAAGAATATCGGGGTCTATTCGAAGGTTCCAACCAAACAATCGCCTAAAGGAACTCTTAAAAACAAAGAAGGATACTTGTTGTCCTATTACTCTCTAATAAAAATCAACAAACGAGTATTCGGCTGACAAACTGAAAAGCTGTGATTTTTAAAGCTCCACACTGGAAGAGCAAGAATATCGCATTCTCGACTAGGTTAAAGGTGAAAGTAATGACATCGAAATACTCAGGTACTCAGGCACATTCACTAGAAGAGTGGAAGGGGATTCCCTGGAGTGTCCCAGGATGCACTTCGGATTAGCGCTGCATGACTAACGGGGACACTATGATCACATTAGCAGACCTGGGCGTTAACATTTGAGCCAGTTTGCACTAGATAATATTACGTCAAAGTAATTATTTAGACTTTTGGTTCTCATCTAAAGGTTTGTCGATCCCATTTATTTCGCGCGTCCTTTTACTCTCGATTTCAAATGTTTCTTCCTCTGCCTCTTTTTGTTTTCCCATTTTGTATCCTTCAGCGAAAGCTTCCCAAGTGCTCACCGAATACACTTCTAGACTACAATTGCAAATTTTCTATTCAATTTACAAATTCAGAAACAAAATACCGGAATTCTCAAATTAGAAAAGTGGCTGGGAAACAGTGTAAGAAGATTCCCAGCGGGATGGTCACACGTTTAACGCGTCTGAAAGCACAGTTCGCCAATGGGAAGTTTGCTTGGGGTTCATGAGAGGGTTTTTCGAAGTAACTGCAGACCGTACGAGCTTGCAAAGAAACGCTTTGTACTCACAAAATTAACAGCTATCAATTATTCGAACCGGTAGACGAAGCAGACGACCGAAAAATATGAAATCGATATTGACTGATACAAAAGTCACAGGCGAGTGGTTTGCAGGCTGCTACTACTGCAATGTATTCGGGAGGTCCCGGGTTAAAATTTCGAGAGACCTTCATGAATTTCCTCAGCCCCTCCACGCAAATGCGAGGTCACGACTGCTTCTTTCCATATAATCTAGAATTCATTATTAACCGATGCTAGCTTATACAATTTCACTACTCAAGATTCGATAAATAAATTTAAAAAAGCAATTGATTCATACGTCATTTAACAGAAATTATTAAACCGCAGATATTATTTAGAGGATCACGAAGGCAAGGATGTGGAAGAAGTTGGTGGTGGGTATTTCCTGCTATCCCGATATTCGGCCAAAGAAAATCCCTAACAATCCTCTATAATAAATTGTTGTCAGGCTGAGAGTAGAAGAAATGATGTCCTGAATATTGTACACGTCCAGAGCACAGTCAATGCCCCATTTTTCTCGGCCTGAATGTTGATGCATTAA